TTATATAAATATACATTTTTTAAAATATAAATATCACTTTTTTATAATGCCCATTTTGTCTTGTTCTTCTTGAAAGAAAATAGGCAGCCATCATGCTTGTCATTGGAACATTTTAAATCTTTATTTGGACAAAGAATATGAAATCGTGTACACGCTCAAAATTTTATATCCAAGTTCATTATTTTTTTTTGCAGCACGAGTGTTTAGATCATCACCTCAGTTTGGTGTCACTCTTTTCACATATGAGTTGCTACAAAGGTTGTTCGTTGTCGATTTCGGAGGATCGTGAGTATATAATTTAAGAAACATAAACTAGAGAATATAATGTTATGTAATTTTCTTTTGCTTTTTACATTTGCTACTAGTAATTATATTAGTTTTAGTCAAGTTGATCCAGTAAATTTAAATCTTTATTTGCATTTTAAATGATTTAAAATTATGCTAATAGTATTAATCATGATTGTATGTGATTATAACTCTTATTTGTCCTTTGTTATAAGTAATGAATACATAAACTAAATCAGAATATATAATCTGTATCATCATAAATTTAAAATGGAGATTAAAACAAAATAATTGATTATCATTAATATGAATTATCCAAGTGTGAATCCAAATTATAAAACTTGTTTCCTATAACAAAATATTTGCGAGTGAATTTTTGTTATTACTCTGACCCTATTTCCCTGTATATATGTATATATAAAATACAAATGTACAATGTAAACAATGTTTAATATTATTTACAGTCGACCTTCCGGATCGGAACAAAAGGTGCCTACCATGGGAGTCGCGGACGAAATTCGATCAACGAATCCAGATCATATAGGTGGCTACCAAGTAGCTCTGCCCATCTTCACGGGTATAGAAAGCAAGTTTGGTCTTTGTCTACCCAGGTTCCAGGCTGTTACCGGAAAGTAACAATATTGTTAGCAGTTGCTAGAAAACTAACTTGTAGCAATCCCTGCCATAAATAATGTACGAATACCAGTTTCTGGTTGCTTTATTGATTGCGTGAAGTGAATGAGATGCATTGTGAGCTTCACGAACTACAAATTATGAGTCCACAAAACATTTCATCTCAATAATCGTCTTGGCCATTTCGAGTTGGGTATTATATAGACTACAGGAAATTGCGATAAGAAGGAACAGTCGTTGATTGAATACATGTTGAATCATTATGTGCGCATAGAAAGTGTAATTATAGATTGATCAAGGAGAAGTACAAATTCTGTAGCTTGCAGAATGCCCAGGAATGATTCGTAATAGCTAAGTCGATGCAGTCAATTGATACGAAAACAGAATCAATGGCATTGAAACTATTTATTTTGATACTATAAAAATATGTTATATCAAATTGTGAGAGATGCCGTCTGTGCGTAATTATTTTATAAAGCGAGAAAGTGAGAGAGAAAAATGGACATTTATCGACAATTTGTTGCTAACTTAAATGTTTCTACCATACATATATAGTAACCAACTGAGTGTATGTGTTCGTTAAATCACAAACGATTAACGCCAACAGATGATACGAGTATGATGTTCTAGCAAAGGTTATAATAATCTTCGTGATGGCCCCGACGTATATGCACCAGATATATTTATGTAAATTTTAAAATAATGAGAGTTAGGCCTTTGTAATTACATTTCTTATACAAATGCTTAGCTTGTATAGCTTGTATAGTTGGTGAGTAGGAGGCCAGTAAATTTGTTTTAAATCCGCTCGCCGTACAACTGCAAAGCAATTATTGACAAATAATACTCGTATATACATATATTCATCATTGAAAGAAAAGAGAGATAAACAAGGATTTACCATTTACTTGTTATTATCAATATTATTTATTAAAATATAATATAATAGATAATATAGAAATAAATTGAAATTCGTTTATATATTTTTTTAAGTGTATAATAAAGTTTTTGAATGGCATAATTTTTTTGCTCGTTTTTTAATAACGCAATTATTTCGTGTTGATTTCTATAATTAAAAAGACATTCAATATTGTAACAATTGCAATTTTAATTAAAATGGACTTATTGGCACTTTATAACACCAGTTATACAATTACACAAGTAAATGGAGAAAAGAGTTAACGCATATAATTCTAAAAAGTTTCTTGTTAATGGCAGTTATTAAGAGTATGAATTACAACGCATTTCTCCGTGTTTATCTTTTTTTATTACAGAGAAATTACACAAAATAATAAAAAGATTTTCCGAGAAGACTTTGATCCATAAAACACAGATAATTTATAAAGGAGGATGCTTAAAACCTATCTAAAGCTACCTACTAAAGCTACCTAAAAATAAGCTATGGCAACTCGTGACGGCAGTGTTTTTCAAAGTTGCGCCCTATTGGAATGTTTGATCTACTCTCTGCCACCTATCGACTACTATAATTTATTTTTATGTAACGCCGTAGGCCGTTTCCCATATGATTTGGACATCCTCCTTTATTGAATGCACGGATCTCTCTTATAATTATTAATTGCGCTTAATTGTACAGATTTTAATTGGGATACAAGATAACAAAGAGAATCACTTTGTTTATATACTGGCAAATTTATCAAATAAATAAACTTTTTTTAAAGTGTTTGAAATTTGTAATATTTTTTTTTAATAAGAGTTTTTTTCCTTTAACCTTTTTTGTTAATCTTGAAATTTTATTTATTCGGTGAGGTTTGATAGACTAGTATAATTTTAGCCAAAGAGAGAGAGAGAGAGAGAGAGAGAGAGAGAGAGAATGCACACAATATAATTAAATATCCCTCAATACAATAAAATTCTATTATTATTATCGATTGTTATGAGAGGGGGGGGAGAGAGAGAGAGGGGGGGGAGAGAGAGAGAGAGAGAGAGAATGCAATATAATTAAATATTATTAAATAATTCTTTTACTCAACTTGAAAGCCCTTGTAAGATGGCGCTTAACCGAGCAGCTTCTCGTTAAATTATTAGAAAAAGATTTACTCCGATCTGCAGCGTCGTTTATTAAGTTTAATGAAATCTTATTGTCTAGAAAAGAAGTAATTACTTTAATTGGTAAGACAGTTAACATACGTTCGACAGTTAAGATATGTAAATATACGTTCTATAAAATCCGTCGCAGGTATTCGCAACTCAATAACTCTTGTTTTTTGTACATCACGATTTCAATCTCGATTTGCTCTGCATTTGCTATTATCACTATTGATTACTATTACTGTCATTATTGTGGTTTTACATAAACTTTAATATTACTACAAGTATCTCTGCAAGGATTTAAGTCGCCACAAATATATGTACATACAAAAAATTATCTTTATCACCAATAATGATATTTACGAGAAAGAAAGTAAACTCGATGTACATACCTATATTCTATAAATTTGTCTTTATTAAAAACATATCATTACATATGTGTTAAAAATAATTAGACATTTCCGTTAAATGTATGGTCGGAGTATTATATGATGATAATATTTTAAATATTTATATATACGATTTATTTTTGAGTTGCATTATTATGGGCAAGTTGCTATGAAAATTTCTTGAAGAGATTTCTTTCAATCGCTCTTACATCGAGTTTACGTTTTTTTAAATTGTGTGACTTTGTTTTAGTAGAAGATCTAAGAGAAATAATGGCTAACTCACTACACAAAATTATAAGCAAATGACAATTAAAATCTATTTTACGAAATACTACGCGCAAACGCGAATCTCAGTCATTAATATATTACAGCAAATAATTAAGTATAATAAATTAAACTTCCTTCCGTACTTGACTGTCTTATATCTTATGCTCGGCGTTGTAGCCGCGGTCGTCATCGCAGATAGATTTTTTATTAAATTCGTTGAAATGTCGCCAGTACCACTGTACAACATTGTCAGAGTTCAGTATACAATTTTACTAATTTCTTTTTTATAAATAATATTGAAATTAAACGGTTAAAATCGATTTTCTTTTTCAAGATTTTTACATAAGATGTTGATTTCCTGACCTTATTTATTTCGATATTATTTGTAATTTAATTAAAATTGATCTAATTGTATCAACTGTCTAAGACAATGCTGCTATCAGTAGCGTGACGAACAGATATGGATGAGAAAATGTTTTCACGCAATGAAAGGTTTGGCACGATTTAATAATGAATATTTAATATATATCTGTGGACATAAACATTATATGCTTTAATGAAGTAAATTAAACTTCAAATAGAAAATTTTGAGCAAGTTCTTTAAATATACATTTTTTTCGTGCCCGCGTCGTGCACCTCATCATAACAATATATAAATTCAAAAATGATGTATCTTATTGTTAGACATACAGTAACTATAAAACAAAATTAATTTTACCATTCGTACAAAAATTGGATATATAAAAAATTTCGGACTTTTATTATTAAATATCTTGACAATACAGTATTAAATCAAATTTCCTTTTCATGTTCTATAATGCTTAAAGAGAAATTTTTGCACACTTTTAATCAGTCCTTTTAATCATTCTTTTTGAATTATCAAACTTATATATATCTTCTTTAAGAATTGAAATTTGAAGATTTATAAATATTCTAAAAAATGTGTAAAACATATATTATATCAAGGAAGCATAATTTTTGAAGTATTAATAAACTGTCAGTTTTGCATGACACAGCTGCTGACTTTTCTATAAGTAATTAGCGTGCGCTTAATTGTATGTGAAAACATTATTCTTCGTCCGGTTTAATAAATAAAACGACGTTCTACGATCTGTGATCAATATCAAATTCTTGATAGTGTACTGGAAGATCATAGTTAGATAATTTCGAATTAAAATTCTTATTATGAAGTATGCGGTCATAATCTTTGATAAATTTATCTTATTGCGAATTGCAAAGATATACATACTTGTAAATCAAAACCTAATTGTGAATAATATCTAAGCTGTTGTGGATATGTATATTTTAAAATAAAAATAAATATTATTTAAAAGACATTTTATTGTTTGCATATTATTATATTCTCTCTCTCTTTTCTCTTTATTAATACAACATAGTATGTACATTTCAGAACAGAGATTTTTCTAAGTTGAAATTAAATTATGGTTACGTTATATTTACAATTGAATAGCCTATATATCCGTAAAATAAAAATAAAAATAAAAAACTAAATAACAGAAATGAAATAAGAAAAGCGTCAATAAATGATTATTTTCGTATTTTTACCTTTTATCTCTCATCAAAATATATAGCAACGTCGTCTCCGAGAAGGATGAATACCCGCTGTCGCACATCGCCGCCACGTTGCAAATGTATTTATAGAATCTAAATTCACATAAATATGTTCTATACGAAAATCAGATTAGAAAAAATATACAGCACGATTCTTTGCTACACTCCTAAAAAAATTATATACCAAAATATTTATAAAAGAGGGGATCTTTCTCTTTCTCTCTTTCTCTCTCACCAATCACCTTTATCTTGAGATATATCTTGCAGGAAAAATCTTGAATAATTTGGGATTAGGTGTAGGATGTTTCTGGTTACTAATATTAATAAGATATATACCATTTCACTTACTTATTTTAAGCATACCCATTGAATTTGACATTGATATATATGTTGTCTAGTTTTAATAATTTTGAAATATCCGTCTTTTTCACTCCTTAATGAATATATATTAT